TCTTTGTAGGGCTTGTGCTGCCAGTGGTATGACTGGAGCCGTTGTGGTGATGATTATGATTGTGATAACTGGTTGTATTAGAATTGCTATTTTCGTTGTTCTCATCCATAGTCACGTCATTCGTGACAATTGTGTCTATTTTAGGGGGCGGGAGGTTGTGGTCGTCGGCGTATTTCTTCCAGCGGTCGTCATCGGACTCGTGGGTCACCCAACGCACGCCTACGTTGGACTCCAGTTCCCTTAAGTCACACCAAACTTCATAGTCCTATATATGCAATGAATGAATACATGGTTTCACTGATTTCACTCAATATTCAATAGAAATGCAAGAATAGAAAAGCAATAGAAAATACATATTCATGTATGCAAGAATAAATTGTGATGAGCAAGGTGCTAATGATACATGTTCATAATTTTGGGACCTCTGCTAATCACATTGTATGCAATACTGTGTATTGAGTTATAGGAAACTAATTAGCGATTCGTTGACTCACTTGAAGCCATGTGTGGAATAAAGACTTCTCGACTGTATATCTCTTTCGTATCTTCACTTGTAATAAATTACTGATGAGATTGACAGCGTCGGGAGATATCTGATTCCAGGGATCGGGAGGGCTGTTAGCGTACGAGAGATTGAGAGATGTTATCAATTAAATGAACTCTTTATTCAATTAAAGACAAATAGCAAGACTACTGACAACATGAAGGCAGCGTTCGTTATCTGATCCGATATGTCCTCTTCTTCGTTGAACGGAAAGGTTCCGCTAAGACTCACGTAAATAATTACACCGACGGACCACATGTCTAATGTACACAACATTTGTCATTAATTACTGATCCATAAATTCAGAGCTAATCAATTAATTTACCTAAAGATCTGTTGTATCCTTTATTACGCAATACTTCAGGTGCTAAATAGGCGGGCGTTCCTGTCGTAAACCAAATCAAAGTTATTTATTGCAAACTCTTTCGCTAAACAGCTGTCTATAGACATGAATGACTTATAGGGCAAAAGACATACCGACAACACTTCGACGGAAAGATTTCTCGCCGATAAGTCTCGCAAATCCAAAATCACATAATTTAACCTTAAGATTGAAAAGTAATTAAAATATAATTATTTAGAGAATTAGAGATAAAACCAAGAAAATAATAAAAATTGATTACTTGAGGGAAATCAGAGTCGGATGAAAGCAAAACATTTTCTGGTTTGAGATCGCAGTGACATATGCTTCTCGAGTGAAGATATCTCAAGGCATGCAATATCTGTTGAATAAGAGAAAATATTTTCACATTAAGAGTCGATTTAATTATAAGACTCGTAATTATAATTTAATAAATAAGATATAAAGTAATGCATTAATCATATGAATACCTGACAAATAAGAAATTTGGTGACGCGCTCAGAGAGTCGGCCCGGTTTGCTGTCGAGTATCATCTCCTAATTTACCTAAAGATCTGTTGTATCCTTTATTACGCAATACTTCAGGTGCTAAATAGGCGGGCGTTCCTGTCGTAAACCAAATCAAAGTTATTTATTGCAAACTCTTTCGCTAAACAGCTGTCTATAAGACATGAATGACTTATAGGGCAAAAGACATACCGACAACACTTCGACGGAAAGACTTCTCGCCGATAAGTCTCGCAAATCCAAAATCACATAATTTAACCTTAAGGTTGAAAAGTAATTAAAATATAATTATTTAGAGAATTAGTGATTAAACCAAGAAAATAATAAAAATTGATTACTTGAGGGAAATCAGAGTCGGATGAAAGCAAAACATTTTCTGGTTTGAGATCGCAGTGACATATGTTTCTCGAGTGAAGATATCTCAAGGCATGCAATATCTGTTGAATAAGAGAAAATATTTTCACATTAAGAGTCGATTTAATGATTAGACTCGTAATTATAATTTAATAAATAAGATATAAAGTAATGCATTAATCATATGAATACCTGACAAATAAGAAATTTGGTGACGCGCTCAGAGAGTCGGCCCGGTTTGCTGTCGAGTATCATCTCCAACATATCGCCCTTCATCTTCTCCATCACTACGAGTATCCTTTCGGGCGTTTCAAACATATTCTCCAGATTAACGACTCCGGGGTAATGGATTTCCTGCAGAATCTGCACCTCATTCTTGAGTTGCGCCTCTTGTTTGGTCGGAAACCTGAGTTTGTCTATCACTTTGATGGCTACGGATCGACCGGAAGTCTTATGAACTCCGCCATAGACTATACCAAACTGTCCCGAACCTAACACCTCATCGGGAAATATCTGGTACTGATAACTGATATCCATTGACGTGTTCTGATCGGACGCCTGTCCCGATAGGTTCTGACTGTCGTATCGGATGTCGTGTGCGTTGGGAGTCATCGGCATTAAGGCCTGTCTGATGGCCGACTCCCAAGTCTTGGCGATCTCCACTTCTTCGCCGACAAAATACGTAACATTTTGGGTCTTGAGTTCAAAGCAATATTGGGGGACATTATTGGGGGTCTGAGACTGCAATCGATTCCAATTGATAAGCGATATTTCAGGCAACGGTAGCTCTTTATAGTATTTAGAGGTGCCTTCGTTTTGAAACATAGTTATGGCTTTCGTGTCGAGTCTCCAGTAATGCTTTTTGCGCTAAACATTGCAATCAATAAAATGTTTGCAACAAAAAGGAAAGACAATTGAAAACATATTAACGTGTTTTCCAATCATTAGTGAAGAGCAAGAAAAGAGTGAATCCATTCTTATTGAATACTTACGGCACTGTCTTTATTAGTGTAATGACTAACCCATCCCTCCTTTAATACTTTGGATCCCCTTCTCTTGACATGTTTGACGCTCTGAACGATTCTCATTAATGGGATGTTATTACTACTCGTCTCTCTGTTTAACGAACACATTATATATCAATCAGACATACAATACACTTAATCCATCAATTCATTCACATTCTCTGTAGTAATCAAATAACACTATTCTATGGAAATGATCACATCATCACTTGATTCACAAAAGACAATGTTATGTAGATATACATCACTATATATAGAATATGATAAGATAATGTGATAGAATTATTCATGGTAAATTTGAAAAATAAGAATTTAACTTTAAATGTCATAAAAGCTATGACTAAACTGTTTCAACTACTTTGTAGTCTATTATTTATTATTACGGTATTTAAATTTAACACCAAGATGAAAAGTTATCAAATAAGAACAATTTTATCATAATATAATTCTCAGTATTACACAGAATTGTGTAATCATTAAATAATTCAAATAGTATTGTGTATCATATGATTGTTTTCAAGAATTCCTAATCACAAGACTAATCGTAATCAACAAATATTACGAATATTTAGTATATAATAGCATTCATAGTAAATACAAATGCAATACAATTCAAGTGATAAGAGGAGAACGTATGGAATGTAATGAATATAACGAAACGATAGCATACGTGACGGCCTGTAGTTTGGTCTGGAGTTCCTCTTCTTGAGAGCCGTTCCCCTTCTCATAAGAGCTCTCATTCTCGAGATCCGACTCATTCTTGTCGTCGTCCTTCTCGAGGCTGTCGTCGTCGGGATTCTCTCCGTATTCGTTGGGCGCCTCTCCGGTGCAGTCCTGCGGGATCTTATTGACACACTTCTTGTGGACATTGAATTTGCAGTCTTTGCATTGCAAGCCCTGTCTGAACAGTCCCTTCAACAGCTTCTTGCAGTGTTGGCAGACTGTCGGCAGTTTGTATGAATGAACATTGAAAGTGTGAGGCACTCGTATACGTCCGGCCAACTCCTTCTCCACCCAAGCGGGCCGTCCCGACTGCACCGAACTGGTCGTCGACGTCGACGAAAAGCGTCGGTCTCTTCCCGGAGACGTCGAGATCGACAGAAACTATTCACAAAATGCATTCAATTTATTAAACATATATTATATTAGAAAATATGATAATAATTCCCGAAATATGATTACTTTTTCTTCAAATTTCGCGATAACTGTCATAAAAAGCATTTTGAAACTAATTGTATCACAGGTTTGATATGAAGTTCAAAAAGAAAACACATAAAAGTTTTGTCGAGTTTTTCAAAAACGATATGAAATGACTACAAAACAGGAGAACAACTTTTATAAACTGAAAGAGTGAAGCGAATGAACCAAACGGGAACGGGTGATACGGGTGGTGACTGACAAATGAATGAGAGATACTCTCTGGGTTTGGGATGGAATGACTCCAAAGTGAAAGTAGATTCAGAGCTAAACTGCAAATCAGTTTGAAAGCACATGAAAAGCACACATAAAGAAAAAACAAACGCTAAGAAAGCGAATGAAATAAAAACTTCTTCTTTCTAATTCACTCAAAGCTCTTATGAATGCATAGAATGTGTGCATAAAATGTAATTTTCGCTTAAAACCAGTTATCAGTTTGAAATGGGTTTTGTCAGATTCCGTCTCAAAACCACTGCTACCATACAGTAATACATGTGAAACTCAGCAAACATTTATCATTGAGTTTGAGAAAATGAATTGAAGAGAAAAAATGTAAAATTCGCTTCAATAATAGCGATGGCTATCTATGTGTAGTGAGAAAGTGTGATATCAGTGACTCTGAGACTTGGGTGGGAGACGAGAGTGAGGATAGGGATTGCAAAAGAAGAAAATCCCTCTTATAATGCGTTAATTGTATTGAAAAGTATTTTCCAGTT